TATTTAAGTTCAGTTACACAGAAAACCCTTTAAATCGCATATCACTAGCCATATCAAACTTAAAAATGACGATTATTTGAAAAATCGACCATTTAAGGGAAATTCTGGCCGCCATTTTGAATTTCCGCCATCTTGGATTTTGGAAACTCTATATATTTAGATTAATTTTAAGTTCAGTGACACTGAAAACACTTTAAATTACATATTATAAACCATATCAAAGAGTGAAATGAGCTTGAAAAGTTATTTCCAATATTTATTTATTTTTAAGTTTAAACAAAATATGCTTTTAATTCATTTTGAATGTGTTGTTAGATGTAATTGATTATATCTTATGTTTTTGTGTCCGCTGGCTTGGTTGACCTTCGAGCAATACATTTAGACACCTAGGTCATGGTTCTACACTGTATACTTCTAAAGATATATATGTATTTCAATAAATTGGTGGCCATTTTGAGAAAAATCGCCGTAACGACCACCAGGGAGAGCTGCTGAGGTGGATCCACATCCCAAAATATTCAGTAGGGTTGATGCCATCTATGTGCCAAGTTTCATGCTTTTAACCCAAAATGCACGATTCTACCAAAAATTCTTCCTTAACTGCCCCACTATCACGGGGTTTTTTTATCATTGGTCCTTTTGCACGTGCACTGTGTACATAACTGGTCTGGGCAGAATGGTGCCTTTTACTCATTTTATATTTCAAATACTTCAAAAACATATTTCAGAATTTAATTTGCAGATGGAAAAATGTAACTGACCCCGAAAACCTATATTTCAATATATTGTACAACACAACGGACTTTATGAATTTCCCGTCAAAATGAGCCTCCATTTTTGAAATTGCGCCCGTAGCGGAATTAGCCGTCACTTTTGAGAGGAATACCAAATCTCATTGGATTCGGCGGATTGAATTCTTCTACAAACCACCCTCAAATTTTACCTAGCTAAATAACCAGAAAATATCTCATGACGGCCATCTTGAATATTTAAATTTCCCTAAAGAACGCCAAAGAACGCTAAAGAACGCCAAGGATCGGAACTGTATGGGCTTGTCAAAACTTCAACCATTCCTCAATTATTTTTATTTATTATTATTAAGACGTACACCAAAGAAATATTTCCTGTTTTTGCATGATATCACAATCAATCGCCCTGTGAAACTGAAACTAGCCACATATTCGTTGTTTGCTAAATAGTTTAAGAGAATTTAACGGTGGTATTCTGAATAACTTCAAAATCAACAAATATGTAACCGTTAGTCAATTATTTTTATTTGTTATTATTAAGACGTACACCAAAGAAATATTTCCTGTTTTTGCAAGATATCACAATCAATCGCCCTGTGAAACCGAAACTAGCCACATATTCGTTGTTTGCTAAATAGTTTAAGAGAATTTAACGGTGGTATTCTGAATAACTTCAAAATCAACAAATATGTAACCGTTAGTCAATAAACATTTATAAAAGTATGAAGACATTTAAATTAAACTTACCTTCTATTGATTTTTTTACCAGTCATTATATAATATCCTTATCGATAAAACAATACATATGCCACTACCCTTGTTTAACTTTGACAGGCCAATAGAGAGAGAGAAATGGGTTTTAACGTCCACTCGACACAAACCAGGTCATTTCGGGACTAACCTATGGTTCAATTTTATTTCCATAATTCGCTTGCGTGTAGGGGTCTCTAGCAGTGGGAGGAAACCGGAGGACCCGGAGAAAACCCACGAAGATGGACAGGCGGCCCTACTCCTTGTCACGTACAACCGGGGATTCGAAACCACGCCAGTTGACTCAATGACAGACTTTATGATACAGCACGCACGTACTAACCATTCAGCCATCCAACCCCCCGACAGGCCAATATGTTCGTGATCTAACAGTTGTGCTTCAATTCTCAGAATTAGTAGTAACCAGATCAATACACGACCCCTCCCATTACCAGGAAGTATTTCTAAACTTTGTTAACAATTCCACGAATATGATCATTTATTTCTTAGAATTAGTCGTTATCAGATTCCCCCATCTCGTTATAGCGACTGACTTTCTTAGAATGTTGGCTTTTCCAAGAAACGAAAATACCTGCGGCAAAACTAGTTTCATTTTGTTAGTTTGGTTTTATTTTTAGCCTGTAGACGCCTAATTAGTCGGAGTATTAAATAGACCTACATGGCTATTAAATATTTCTTAGAAGGTTGGCTAATTTCTACGAAACGAAACTAACTGAGGCAAAGCTAGTTTCATTTTGTTAGTTTGGTTTTATTTTTAGCCTGTAGTCGGACTATTTTAATATTTAAAAAAAAATAGGCCAACATAGCTTTTAGCTGTTGCACAGACCCACTTTTCTGTCCTATAACTATGACACCATCCTTTCATCTTTTAATCCATCATAATGAAGAATGGATTGTTTTCTAAAAACCACAGTCCATTATTAATCAAAGGGGTCTATTATTAATGCGAACGGTTCATTATTTTTGTAAACATTAACGATAATAATAATGATGTTTGTATGGCGCAACTATTCAATCCACTAGGGAATGCAATAGACGCTAGAAAATGTTAAATCATAGTGATTAAATAACCACGTTTTCGCTTTATCCATAAAAACCGACACAGAATCATATTGTCGGATATTTTCTAGAAGTGTATTCCACACAATTGATGCACTGTATCAAAAAGTTCTGGATCCAAATTAATTCAAATTATAGGTAGGCACATCCAATAATAATTCGCCTGCTTATCGTAATGAGCCATTAGGATGATGCAATACTAGTAGATTTTGAAGATAACCTTTAGACGATTTGTTAATCGATCGTACACGGAGTCAATGTAATTTGTTTATTGAGGTTTTATGACTATGTAACAATGAAATGTTGCAAACTGAAAATAAATCAAAATTTTAAATTTCTTTCTCGCTTTCTGACTTCATGCATCATCACCATCACCACCACTGAAAAAATTCTCAGTCTGCATGCACTCAACATAGTGCTTGCTAAGGAATTCCCAGACACCGAATTCAGACCTTTGCACGCCCTTCCAGTACCGTCCGTTCAAGAAACGGGTCTTTTTTTCAAATTTATTGCGATGATTGCAAACTAGGCTGTTTCCCTTTTCCACTTTTTCGAGTAATCGAACTTCCATGGGGGTCTCATTTGATCACTACAAAGTTTCAGGATTTTCCCGCGAAAATTAGGGGAATGCCGCAATTTTGAAATTTAAAACCCAACTTGTATTTTTGGGAAAAAGTGATTACGATAAAAAAAAAAAAAAAAATACATCCCGCTAATATTTAATGTAGTTGATTGAATTTGCATTTGGATCTCTCTCAAATATTTTCAAATTTTTTCCCTCCCAAATTCAGGAGGGTTGACTATTTTGAAATTTACGCAAAAAAATAAGATTTTGAATACTGAGCGAATAATGGAAGGGTGGGCTGTAAGCTTTACGGGCTAGCAACTATAATATACTCTTCAAAAAAAGTAGGGGATATTGAAATGCAAATACCTATGCAGGTTGTGATATGATAAATAGTCATGAACACTTGACATGCTTTGAGAGTATGTTCACGGATGAAGAACGTATCGCCTCAACAGAACCACTGAGCTGTACGTGCGACACGCATGGGCGTCACACGCCCCCCCCCCCCCAATTGTTTTTCGGGGGGGGGGGGGGCTGAATATACTTGGACATGTACATATCCCAATATGGTTTACATTGCTAAAATAAAACACAGAGAGAATCATCCTGCTAACATGTGTCAAGTGAAAAGTAACTGTGGTCCATAAAATTGTGTCTAGTTAGCCTGTCAGTAATATTTTGTTAATTTTTTTCTGCCATGATAATCGCATGTAGGTACCCAAAAACATTATCGCCTAAGCCAAATATTTATCGCCCGCTCAGCCAGCCACGTAACCATAATGTTTTGTTCATCTTTTTTAGGGGTTTTAAAAAATGGTTAGGGTTGCGCCCCCCCCCCCCAATATATATTTCACGGCTACGCCTCTGGCGACACGCAATAGCGTCATACACGTGGGAGGGGTTCATTGTCAAATTTGACACTTCAAGGAAGAGTTGGTTTATCCTTTCCATGTTTGCTTTCCTATGTTTAGCGTATCTTTGCTTTAGTGTGTTACGTTTAATTTGCAATGAGACGTCTTCAAAATGATGAACGTCTGCGTGCTATTGGTGTGCTTCAAATGGGTTCTACAAAGGCGTCAATGATGTAGAAAGCGTAGAAATTAGGGTAATCGTCGAAGTTGGCGTGTAATGTTCTCAGAGGTGTCCAGATTTACTCTGGATTTCACCGATAGGCGTGCTCGCGTTTGGACGCGTGTAAATGAGCTTCATGCTAACGTTAACGCCAGACAGCATGAGAGATTCGGGCCTAGGTCTGTTATGGTGTGGGGGGAATCACACAGATTTTCGGGACATTAACCTTCTATCTAAGCCAGCATACAAACGGAACAACGGGGAGATCAGAGTAAATAATAATAATAATGTCCATTTCGTGATCCCCAAATCCATTCTTAAACCTGCATGCTCAAAAGGCGGTTTTAAAAGCAATAATGTCTATTAAATTTGGTTTACATAAGATTTTTTGAACATTTTGTACACTAGTGGTCTCAATTATTATCCGATTTATATCCCAAAGATCTCGGCTCCTTTTGATATTCAGACCGTAACTTCATGGATTATATATAATTATGGCCCATGTTTGTGCGAACAAACGCGTTTGTAGCTTGTGGACCCACTAGAGGTCACAATTTTTAACTGATTTTGATAAAAAATTAAAAGATATGTTCTTATCCGTAACATCCCGGATTATAGACCCCGATTGCAAGAAAAATCGCTTTTGTAACTTGTTCTCTGTCCATTTCTTGCAAAATGTAGGCGTATCTTGCATCTCAACCGCTTGTTTCGGAATGTATTTATTTAAGATTAATTTACTTAATTGTTTGATATTATTACAATATACAATTCTTTGTTTGTAGGCACATGGTATTAGCTGCAAGTATAAATTTGATACAACACGAATGCAGAGAAGAAATGTTAGTATCTTAGTAACTGAAACGTTATAATTGCACGAAACATTTCTGGATCTTGGTAACCCTATTGAAAAAGGCAGTGTGAAGCTACTCGATTTTCGAGATTGGTGAATAATGAAAAACAAGTAGCTCTTTTTCGATATTTATGAATAACAAGCTACTCGTTTTTTTGATATTCATATTTCAAAATAAAAAAAAAACAGATTTCAGAAATGGATAGAGAACTTTTTCATAAATGATTTTCTTATTTATTATGTTAAATTTATTTTTGGGTTTATTAAACGCGTTTTTTAGTTGTTCTCTATCCATCACTGAAATCTGTTTTTTTTTTTATTATTATTTTTTTATTTTGAAATCTGAAATCTGTTTTTTTTTTCATTTTGTAATCTAAATATCGCAAAACGAGTAGCTTGTTTTTCGTTATTCGTCATTATCGAAAAAAGAGATACTTGTTTTTCGTTATTCACCAAAATCGAGCTATCTTCATACTACCCTTTTCATCAGGGTTACCAAAGATACAGAAATGCATGTTAGAAGAATATTATTTCACTGGTGCTTTCCTAGGGCACTGTTGATGTGACAATATAAGCGTTATGGGGCAATGGTATAAGGCAATAATTAAACAGTGTTTTCCTTGCACCTGTGGCTTACTTTATACATGATTTTTATCCATATTCAGATAATCCTAACCTCCCCATACCCACTACTGGCCACACCACTCCACTGACTATTCTTATGTTATTGTCATATAGGTTTTAGATGTGTTTGTTATAACTAAAAGCCTGTCCCTCTGTCCGTCTGCCTGTTCATCACACAATAACTCCCCTTCTAATTGAGCTAGAATATCCAAACTTGGTGTAGGTGTTTATTAGGTGAATGGCTTGACTAATATCGGCGAATAGAATTTTCTGCTTAGGCTAAGTAGCGATAAGCAATTTGATTGGTCAAGAGTTTGGAACGTAACAACGCTGCTTTTATTTGCGGTAGAATGTTTAAACTTGATGTAGATGTACATTAGGTGAATATCTTGTCCATATGCGTACGGGATCGATGACGGGGTGAAGGGGAGACTTGAAGTGTGAATCCGAGTTCAATGATTAACATTTTCCGCTAACGTTAAGCAGAGCTAGGCAATTTCATTTATCGATGCTTTGGGACAAGATAACTTTTATTCTTACTCATGGAGAGTGCTGAAACTTAGTGTGGAGTTTCACTACCAGGTACTTCAAAACCTTGACTGAGTTTGATCGTGAACATTTTCTAGTTAAACTAACTTTAGATTATCAGCTTGATTGCTGGATACTTTTCAAAAAGATAAATGTGAAATTAGTCGAAATTTGTGTATTTATTTGGGGATTACAGCGGGGGACAACAGCCTCACTGTTTGTTGTTTTGTTTTTTTTAGATTTCCAATTTAATAGCCATTAATAATAGTTTGTCTTTATTTCAGTTGCCCCAGCATCTAGAGGGTACCGAAGAACCTGTTGCATGTGACTTTACGTATTTTGGCTGCAAGAAAATGGTAGGCAAAGTTATGTATGTTCAATTTGTGCAAGAGATTACGTTAATCACAAATATCATATTTGATCAAATTTGCGAATGGAGGGGGGTGAGTTCTGTGGTTCCACTTGTGGTGGGTAAAATTAAAAAGAATCTAATGTTTACATTTTAGACACTTATTTCAACCCTTTTAAAAGACATTTAAATTGTGGGCTAAATCAATTACTTGACCTTTCATTAAGTATGCCGAGTCTCCATGTCTAATGGGGAATTTTTCTCACTATTCCAGGGATCTAAATCGGAATTAAAGGAACATAAAATAAAAGATGTTAATCAACATTTAGAATTAATGGCACGTAATATTAGGGAGAGAGATAAACACCTCATGGTAGCGCAGCATGCTGTAAGTTGGCTTCAATAAATCATAGAAATTACACAACCCAAAGCCAAGATATCTGTCTGATCTGATCTGATTGTAACAAGCGTGATATCTGTCTGATCTGATCTGATTGAAAACTTTACTGTCCAGAACAGAGCACTTGTTCATTTGAACAAAGCCGTATTTTGTTCGATACTACTGTGGTAAAAGGGTAAACAACATACAAAAATATAGTATGGGCGTATTATGTCATAAGCCTGTTCGCCCGACCGTCGGTCAAACCCTACCGACCTTACGAATTTTGTTCCACCGTTTACTATCGAGATGTAGCAGCTGTGTGGAGTATTTACACGCTTTCATTCTTTTATAATGTCGTATATTGTCGTCGTCTCTGTAATCTCTCTCCAATTTCTGAGATTTGAAACTGGGTGAACATATTCAGTTTCTCAGAATTGCGTATCAGGAGGCAGACCACCATTAAATTTCACCATCTCGGTACCCACAAATGGTAGTTTGTCTATTTGTAGCAATTCTTTCTCTGTCTCCTTTCTCTCCTTTTGCATGCCCATTTTTGTTGATTTTTTGATCTAGAATGGACGAAGGGTTTGAATTAAAATTTTCTGCCAGGTTTTGGTAAATATTCATGATTTTGAAGCGGAAGGATAACGGAGTTATGGGGAAATTAATGGTGGTCTGTCTCCATCAGTTATTAGCGAAGTTATTCCTCCTGAAATCGAATACTTGTAATCTCTACATGGTTTTAAGCACCTTTTCCGAACGCACTGAGACTATGTAGCTAGTAATTTAAAGGCGCTAAATTGCTAATATTTGGGACCTAAAAATTGACCCAAATGGATCGCAACGCATATAATAATGTAATCTGGTTGTATATGAACTGATTTACATTCAATTGTTTCGGTTTTGACTCTAATTTCAAATCATATATGTCCAGGGAAATACGGCATGAGTCTCAACCGAATGGAAATTTCTAGCGTCTGGTTATTCCAGTCTATTGCGCATGCTCTCCAGATAAGTTATGGCGTCACCGTTTGACATGAGTTGCGGAATATGTCTAGCCTCGTTCTTTCTGGCCACTTGTTACACATGACACTGAAACCCACTATGGTACACGATTCGTGTACCAATGGTAAAATGTTTATTTTGTCTTAAATATTGGATATCAGAAGCCTACCTTTTCCCAGTAAGATCACAACATCAATGTCGATTTCAGTTGACAAATAATTCATGTTTTCAACGTGTTAGACTTTGGGTGATATTGAGTTAGAGACCTAGCTACTTTAAGGATAAATATTTTAAAAGAGTATCGTCCGTGGCATCAAAGCGTTGTATAAACGGACCCTTACTCTTAGGTGAAAACGCCGAGATCTATTTGCCACGTCACTATAGTAAAAAATAACCTTTGGTTAGCCTTAAAGTTATTGATGTATTGTGTCGACGATTCTGATTATTTAATGTTTATTTCAGTCTGTAGCTAATGTAACAGATGATATAAAAGCTAAGATATTATTAGTAGAAAATGGTATTAAAGATTTAAAGGTATGTAAAACAACTGGCACCTACTCATTTATGTACAAAAATAAAAAATTAAAGTGATTATGATTTTACTTGAAGTTTATATTCGCGAATCAATAGTTTTTGCTTCTTCTAATCCAGTAGATCGCTTAATCACATGTGGACATGTCTTTAATAAACATTATGGGCAATTGAAGACCACTTTCCCTCTTTTTGTGTTGCTGTTGAACTTTTTAGTGGTTAACCATAGTTTATAACTAATTAAAATAATTGATGTGTTTTTTTAATAGCTGAATCTAGCTGGAATAACTGAAAAAGTTACAACAATGGAGAGAAAATTGGCTGATCTACCAAGTCAAGTGGATTTTGAACAACCGGCTCGGGATATCGTTGATATAAAAGGGAGAGTTGCCACTTTAAGCGAACAATATGGTGAGTTACAAAGTAGGTGGTGGTGGGGGGGGGGGGGGGGCGGTAGGTAGAATTTTACAAAACTAAGAAATTAACAGGTAGAGAATAGATATAATTATCAAGTAGCTAAGATTCAATCTATTAATTTTTTAAAACACGGGAACAGTGCTTGCGAAGTTAGCCTAATTGGGGGCGTGGCATTTTGGGGCGTGTCTGTTAGGGGTAACCCACCGCACAAACTGTCGGCAGTGGCCATTCATCACTTCTGTGGTGGTACTGAACAACTCCAAAGCTGTTTTAGGTGTTCCAGATTTGAGCTAATCTAGCCTAGCTTTGGTCTAAATATTAGATAACTCTTGTCAGGGATACTCCATCACTACAAATGTCTGGCAATTACATAGCTCTGTCAGGGGTACCCAACCACTAGAAATGTCTGTCAGAGTGTTTTTGTAATACCTGAAGATGTATGGTACACTGCTGTACGAATTTCATTTGGTACACTTTTGAGCTAATCTAGCCTAGTTGGGGGTCATGGCATTTAGGGCGTGGAATACCACACCCACCACCAGAAACCCGGCAGACTTACATTCTGATGATACCAGATATACATAAATTGATCCCGTATAGGAGACAATTGGTACACTTTTTAGCTAGGTTGACCCCCTGGGCTCCCGGTCTAAATTACGGTCTCTATTTCATGTTTACAAACGGTACTAAAATTAAAATATTCCTTGTGCTAAGTTCGTGTTAGTGTATAATTATTTTTCTTTTCGCTTTTAGACACCTTTACGCACCATCTCCATGGTAACACTGAAATAAGTATAGTCGGAATGAATCGACTAGAAGGAGCATTGGAACAAGCATGTCACAACGAGACATTAATCCAGAACCATGATGGTAGAATAGCTGAAATGGGTCAGCGATTTCAGATATTAGAAGCGGCAAGTTACAACGGTGTAATCATATGGAAGATCAAAGACTACATGCGAATAAAACAGGATGCCGTCAATGGGAGAATACTGGCTTTAAATTCCCGACCATTTTATACCAGTAAATATGGATACAAGATGTGCGTTAGGGCGTTTTTGGACGGAGATGGTATGGGCCAAAATACCCACGTTTCCTTGCTCTTTGTGGTCATGGGCGGAGAATTTGATGCCTTGTTACCGTGGCCATTCCAACAAAAGGTCACATTATACATCATGGATCAAGGCCCAGGTAAACGCCATCTAAGCGACCATTTTCACCCGGATGCTACAAGTACAAGTTTTAGACGACCGGTTTCTGAGATGAACGTGGCCTCAGGCTGTCCACTGTTTGTCAGCCATACTGTTTTAGAAAGCAACTCAAACCAGTATATAAAGGATGATACTTTATTTATACGCTGTAATGTAGACTTAAATGGCTTGGATAACGTTTAATGTAGACAGAGCTGAATATTGTAACAGTGTACATTGACAAAATATGCAATATATTTTATTTTAGATATTTTATTCTTATGTATATTTTATAGATTATATAGTTTATTTTAAATGTATATATGTTTATTAAAGACGTCGAGTCTATATTGCATAAATCAACCTTGACGCTGATTTGGTGTCAATAGATCTTAAGCATAATATATAATGGTATACTGATATAGAAGAACTTGAATAGAGGGTCCTTTATTGGTTGTTTATTTTAAAGTAATTAAGTAAGATTAATGGTGACAGCTTTAACTTTAAAAACAATACCTAGGATTACACTGACGCTATTACTCGGGTTGTCGTTACCTGACATTAAGTCAAGCGAGTCTAGATCCGGCCAATCAGATTTCGTATCGAGTAATGGGCGTCTTCCGTAAATGGTCTTCCACCAATCAAAAAATGAGATTAATCCAACACGTGGCATCTCTAATATTTGCCGGGATTTTTGGAAGATATAAATATATCTAGCTAAACTTTCACCATTATCTTCACTTAATAAATTACTTTGAAACGACAATATTGGATCTCTCTTATATTCAGGTAAGCCTCTATGTATATTTTAATTGTTTAAACTTTATATATATTTTATTCTAACCTTTGACTTAGAATTATATCCTTTTATATCGGATCAATACGATTAGTAGAATCGAGTATTACATTAATAGATATTTCTTCATCTACGTAAAATATTAATTAATAAACGGAAAAGTAAGAATTGATATGATTCATTACTTGTTTAATTACTTGAGAATATTTTACAATATATATATTTATTAAAACGGAAAAGTACGTTTGTCGACGAAATACTTGTTTGTTTAAATATGTTTCAATAACAGATAATTAATGTCTAAAATAATTAGAAATGGTTCGCGCTAAATTAAACGGAAAAGTAAGGATTTACATGATTTATTACTTGTTTAACTTCTAGCGAATATTTTACAATATATATATTTTTAATAGACGGAAAAGTACTATATATTCGATAGATTACTTGTTTATTAAAGAAATGTGTTATTTAGATTAGTGGAAATAATTAGTGACTAAAAAGTACGGTATATGTTATTTTCGATTAATACTTGTTGCTAAATAGAGAATAAAGATTTAATAGTTATATTTACTAAAGATTTAATAGTTATATTTAATAAAGATTTAATAGTTATATTTATTAGTTACATTTAATAAGGATCGTACATTTAAGAAATTCTACATCAGTAACTTGTACCTCTTCACAAGCGAGTTAGCTCTATTGTATTACATTGAAATTATACATATATTATTATTGTTATTATATGCTACACCACCCTATGTATATATATTATTATAAGCTACACCATCCTTTACATAGTATTTACGTTATATTGTTATTAATGTTTGAATTTGAATAATGATGATCTTCACTTAATAAATTACTTTGAAACGACAATATTGGATCTCTCTTATATTCAGATTAAAAACCACCGAAAACCACACTTTTACAATTGGGGAGATGTTTTAAGATCCTGACTGATGTCGAAACAAGGAGTTGATCCAGATAATTTTCCAAGATATCCGTTAAGAAACAAAGAAACAGAGAAAACAGGAGAGATATCGGAAACTGAAATTACAGTTAACACTGACATTAACACGATAGCTTCAAACTCCTCTACAGAAGACAACGGTACACAGGTATTTGCAATGAGTTCCCTGCAGTTACCCAGATTCAGTGGAACGGGAAACGAGACAGCCGCAACTTTTATCTGTGAGTTTGAACATTTAATGGCAATACAAAAAGTGACTAACGATAGTTTGAAATTATCAAATTTGTCATTTTATTTAACTGGAGAAGCCAAACTTTGGTTCCAGAAACTGACACCGGAACAGAAAGACAGTTTCCAAATAGTGAAAAATTTGTTTTTAGATGAATTTAAATATGTTTTAGACGTATCTAAATTAAAATTACAATTGCAACAACAGACTAATGAAAGCATTGAGCAATACGTATCAAAATTAGGCCAGATTGCCTTCGCCAGTGACGGGAAAGTGCCCGAGGAGTTAATAGTGCATACCGCGATGGAAAATCTCTTGCCACGAATAAAATCGAGTGTAACACAATCTAACCCCAAAACAATTAAAGAACTGAAAAGTGCTATTGTAATTGCTAATAGAGTAGCCATGTTACAACCATCAGAAACTGTTGTGGCAGCAGCCACAGGCAATATGCAAATTGGGCCAAGTATCTTGAACACAGTTACAGACACTCTAGGCAAGTTTAGGGACGAGATGGTCGACTTGAAGAACAAAATGGCCGACATAGCAGCCGAAGTTATGTATGTAGGTCACCCATTACGACAACCGACCACAGACGTATTTTATGAACAACGAAACCAGTATCAACATGGACAACAATATAACCAACCACGCTACCATTCCAACAACCAGTCGCAGTATTATAATCACACGTTTTCAAAACAACAATTTCCGCAAGGACAGAACCCACGACACCAATGGAACAGTCGGAATCAACGCTGTAGAGGTTGCGGTGAGTTTAATTGCTCTATTAGAAATTGTAATGGGAAATTTTGTAATTTTTGTAATTCTAATACCCATACATATAACAAATGTTATAAACGCCCAGGCAACAGAAATGGTGCTCAAATGAAATGATTCGTGGTGCCTGGATCAAGCAAATATGGTTTGAACAGGCATACAGAAACTATTGAAATTAATGAAAATAATGCTGGTCAAGTAATAGCCGTACAAACGTCCCTGGAAAGAAATATGATTGAAATTATGATAAGTTCAAAACAGTTAAATGCATTAATCGATACCGGGGCTAGTATATCTATTCTATCTTTCAATTTATTTAATAAGTTAGGTTTTAAGAAATCACAAATTGAACCATCAAATATAATCAAAGTAACTGGAGTAGGTGGTGATCAGTATAATGTTTTGGGTACTATGAAGGTACTGCTTTATATAAACAATGTTTCACTCCAACACGAATTCCATATTATGCCACAGGTACACCACCCAGTAATTTTAGGACTTGATTTTATGGAGCGATTTAATACAAAAATAGATATAAGTAAACGTATTGTGTCATTTGATGAGGGAATACCTGACATAGCATTGATATCGAACAACATAGGCTTAGTTAGACCCCAAAAATCTATCACACTTAAAGCTCGTCATCACGTTGACGTACCTGTGAGATTGGCAAATTTTAACTATTGTAACGCAGTTTTATTAGAACCAAATCCCATTCTTGCGAAAAAAGGTATTGTAGGAGCTAGATGTCTTGTTCAACCATTGGAAGGAAAGGCTGTGCTACGTTTATTAAATTCCACAAATAAAAATATAAAAATTTATAAATCTAACATATTAGCCACAGTAAATAATATTGAAGAGAATTCTATAATGGACTTATTAGACAATGAACATAGCACGCCTGCAAATCCGGGCGGTAATGTCATGTCTTTAAAATCCGAGGAATCTCGTGAAAATGAACTCGAGTTCGATTTAACAGATTCTGACTTATCGGATAATGAGAAACGGGAATTATTGTCATTTTTGAATACAAATCGACACGTATTTGCGAAGAATCTTAAAGAATTGGGTAAAACAAAGGGTTACAAACACGTCATAGATACTATGGAAAACGAAGGTCCGGTACGTTCACAATTTTATCGACAATCGGCCGAACTTAGAAAGGAAACCTCGCGGCAAATAAAAGAAATGCTTGACAACAATATCTGCGTTGAAAGCAACTCACCCTGGCGGTCACCGGTCATTATGGTTAAAAAAAAGTCCGGAGAATGGAGATTCGCTGTAGATTACAGAAAATTAAATAAAATTACTAAACCAAATTATTTTCCAATAATACGCTTTGAGGACGTCATAGATTCCGTTGGGGAAGCACAAGCAAAAATATTTTCAGTATTAGACTGCGCGAGTGGATTTTGGCAATTAGAAATGGATGAAAGTACAAGACACAAGGCAGCATTTATTACCCAAGATGGCGTGTATGAATGGAAGCGAATGCCTTTCGGATTAAGTAACGCTCCAATGACTTTTCAAATGGTAATGACTGAAATATTACGCGACATGAATTGGCAGTACGCTCTTGTCTACGTCGATGATATCATCATTTTTAGTAAAAATTTCCGCGAACACATTCAACATCTTAAAAATGTTTTCCAAAAATTGAGCAAAGCGGGTGTGACACTAAAGCCTAATAAGTGTAAATTTGCAGCACAAAGTGTTAAGTACTTGGGACACATTTTTAGTAAAGATGGAATTTCAGTTAACCAAGAGAAAACCGAAGCTGTACAAACTATTCCAGTACCAAAAAACCAGCATGAGATTAGACAATTTTTAGGCCTTTGTAACTATTACAGAAGATTCATTTTTAATTATTCACATATCGCACAACCTTTGAATGATTTACTACGAAAAGATATAAAATTTGAATGGACAGATAAATGCCAAAATGCTTTTGAAACTTTAAAAAAGACGTTAGTGTCGCCACCTATCTTAGCTTTTCCGGATATGTCCAAACCGTTTATATTGACAACTGACGCTTCCGGTTTCGCGCTTGGTTACATTCTTTCTCAGATTGATAAAGACGGACGCGAGCACGTTATTCATTACGGCGGTAGGTCTTTGCATCCCTTTGAAAAAAAATGGACAGTTACCGAACAAGAATGCTTAGCCGTTTTGGAAGGAATCAAAACATTTAGAGTTTATTTGGCTTCTTCTCCTTTTCAAGTCATAACTGACCACAAAGCCTTAACATGGCTCAAAGATACAAAGCACACGTCAAATAGACTTCTTAGGTGGGCAATCCAAATTCAAGATTACCAATACGAAATTGTGCATAGACCAGGAAAGAAAAATCAAAATGCAGACGCTCTGTCGCGAAGAATGTATCCCGAAAAACCTGTCAATGAAAGCATTGATGACATACCTTCAATCAATAATTTAGAAATACCGGTA